GGCACTTGTTTCCTTCTGCAAGGTGGTGACTTCCCACCAACCCACCCACCCCAAGTGCAACAAGAGCCCGAGAACGAGGTGGAGTCCGTGGCGGCTGAGGTCAGGCTTTCAGTGGCTGGAGGAAGAGAAGGACTCCTGAATGCAGAGCCCAGCGATGAGGCTCAGATAGCCTCTGCCGTCGTTGGAAGAAGCCGGCGTGCAGCGGATGGTGCTGGGGCTCCCCGCCCACGAGGGCTGAGAGCACAGGCCACTGGCAGATCCATGTGTGAAACTCCAAAAACCCTCTGGTGGCAAGTGATGGTGGAAGAAATGACCCCGTCTCTGTCTTCCCCAATCCACAGACTTGTGATAATGCTAGACCCTTAAAGAGTGCTTTGTCTCAGAAAAGACCTGGGATGTTGTAGTTCCACTGAGCCTGGGGATCACAGGTGGGAAACAGTCCAGGTTATTTCTAGAGGCACTTTGCCTAAAGTGTGCGACGTAGTAGGTTCCAGAAACCTGTTAAAGAAACAATGTTCCCATGTGCGCAGTGATCTCATCTGACACGGAGACGCAGCCTGCTTTGGCCAGCCCTTCAGAGCAGACTGCAGTGAAAAAAATCACCATACTAAGGAAAACAAACCCTTGGGGCCCAGCTGCTGCAGCCCGCTTGGGGCTTGACGCCAGGCCAGTGAAGCACTTAACCTGTCCCGTCGTTTCTCTCAGCTGTGGACCCAGTCCGGTGGCGGATTTTCCTGGCAGACCTCAAGGCTGGGGAGCCAAGTTGTCGGTGTAGACACCCACACCTGGGCCTCCTTGGAGTGCAGGCTGCCTACTGCTCCTCCGAGTGGAGCCTTTGTTTATGAAGGAGGCCTCAACAGAGAGGCCCCGCTGCCCCGGAGCCTTGGAGGGGCTGAAGCACACACTTTCCTCGGGCAGAATCTCCACTCACGGCTGAGGAAGCCTCATGTCCAGCAGGGATGAGGGTCAGAAATGGCAGCATAAAGACTGACTGGGGACAGGGCTTACTCCTCCAGCCAGAGGTGCCCTGGAAGAAAGGCCTGGCCGTGGACTTCTGAAAGATCTGTGCATTGCTGCTCTTCTCTGACATGTGTGGGGTCATCACGAGTCAGAATCCACTTGATGTAACTGCTTTGGCATTTTGGGGCCATGGTCGATTCATTCCTTTAGGCACTGCCTCCTGAGGACCCAACACGCACCACACATCGCCTGTCGGAAACGTGCCGTCTCGCAGGACAGGTGATAGCACCCCTAACTGGAGGCTGGCTGCGTCAAGTGCTGGGCAGGTACTCACCTCCCCCACAGCAGCCACGAGATACCAGCTCCAAAGGGAAAGAGGAAAAGGCTGAGGGAGTTTTTGGCTCCAGTTGACCCTGGCTGGTTCTGGGGCAGATGGACTTCCGCTGAGAACGACTGCAAGTGTTTATACAGAGACCAAGCTCACACTTCCTGCGGGAGCCGCCTGCGTGCAGAGTCTGGGAGGTTCCGCGTTTCCTCTTCTTGGAGCCCACCGGCAGCTCGGGACCCTCCTCTATGGCTCTGTCTGGAGCCAGCTGCCTCCCTCTGGCCTCTCCCTGTCATCTCTCCTCTGTTGCCTCCGTGGGAATTTCCTGGGGGCGACACGCCCCTCCCTCTTGTTGGGGAGCCTGATGGGGGCCGGCTGGAACAGATGAGTGAGGCTGCTGTGACGGGGTTTCCCAGACACTGCACGGCCGCCCTGACCCTCCCCCTCACCGTTTGCTGCTGCTCGCCCATCTAAGGGTACCACGGGGATCCCCCTGTGGAAACGGGTCAAACCTTGTGCTTTGGAGCTGAGCCAGCCCGGCTGGGGAAAGACAGATGAAAGGCTTCCCCTCGGGGCGCAGATGTGGGATTGTCTCGTGGGGGGTCATCTCACTGGAT